AAGCGAGCCTAGTTGTAAAGGGTGCGAATCAACGTTCTACTTGTGGTTGAGATACGCCAGTAGCTAAGCGTCAAGTTGACCCGGAGAACCGTACCTCAAGGTATACTGAGTACATTACATACCTACCTACCTTGGATAAAAAATGCCGGCCTTGGTAGCCATGACTCTCTTCTGTCAAGCCCGCCATACCAAGCGTTTCCAAGGTCAGTATGTAACCATCTAAAAATAAAAGACACAGGTTGCGGCCAGAGAGCACAGGTGAAGAAGGCCAAAATGGCCGCCGCCTGTGATGATCCTGTGGAAAGAGCCACCTGACAGCCCCCTTCCTCTAGCCTCCGCTGAGTTGTGTCAAAGGCGCCAAGGCATTCATGGGTCCCCGATGCCGCTTTCCAGGTCGATCAAGGTCCACTCAGCGCGATACTTTCCCTTCCCTCCCCAGGCAACCATCGACCTAGGAACGTGGTATGTTCACTCAACTTTGAGCATCTTAGACCCTGTTCCAACAATCATCATGTTCGGCACCGATCGTTCGGCTCGGGCCTTGAAAGTATCCAGAACATGGCCACAATATTCAACCACGGGTCCCGCCGCTTACCGACAATCAATCTAATAAGGTTAGTATGAAATACCTATCCGCGGTGCCATGGGTAGGTAGATGCTGGACAACCCGATGTCGTTATTATGGTCCGGCAAACACAGTTGGTACCACCCACCTTCTCGAACCACCTGAGCGCTCAGTGCGGCTCCACGTGCAGCCTCCTGCGTGTCCGCTGAAGACCAAACCAACATGGGCGCCCACGTCCATGTGTCTTGCCCGCCTGAGCATCGACAAGCCAAGTCACCACGGACCCGACTTTTGCAGTAAAGCAATCCCGAAGGAACGTCGTCGTCTCTCCAGTCCATGGACTTGATGACGTATCACCTGGTACAAGATCCGAGGCAATCGGTGAATGCAGAAGCATGGGGACGTCTCAAACATGGTCTTCCTCCTGAGAGCCTTGCCGCCGCTTCACCCATGGCTTGAACCGAGAAAAGAAACATATATTTCAGGGGCATACCATCAGTTATGGTGCTATTACGGACAGGGGACTAGCGAAACAGTCCACAGGGCGACTCAATTATGTCCTCAATCTCGATTCATCAACGAGTCTAACAATGAACTGGAAGAGATTACGGCCCGATCCGACATCCTGGATATCCCATATCGGTATTGCACTCTTGCATTATGATCCGTTTTTACTTTACATGCAACATTGGGCTCGCTCCAAGCGAGTATGTTGGTAGCTCGCTTCACTCCACGGTGTCAATGACCCAGCCATTGTAGCCCCCTTCCTGACCACAATGGAGTGACTGCCTTCTGGCTGATATCTGGCCGTTCCACTGATAATCCAGACCTATTATGTCTGCAGCAGCCGAACTGATATCAGGCATGCATACGGTATGCCGCTCCAGCTTTGACGAATACGTATACATTGTCTACATTCATGATTCGCGAAAAAGCTCATTCTAATCCACGGGAGCCTGCGGCAAAGACACTGCAGCAGATGCATCGTACCCGCCCGGCCGCCTTTCTCGACACGAAAAAGTGCAGAACTCTTCCATGTTCCTGACGAGGAACAACAGACTGCCCTGTGCGTTGGGATGACCTTGTATGGCCGAAGACCCAGACTACTGGTGCAGCCAAGACTGCTCAACATTCTCGGGTAGTCGCTTTTGCCATTGGCCCACTTAGCAGGAAGGCAGGCAGGCCAACCGATCAGTCGCTTGTTCAAGAGATGTTACCTGTCTGGAAGTGCCCTCAAATCTCTCCCCGAGGTTTGTTTCTAACAGCGGGCAATCAGCTGGGCCAGTCCTGTTCGCTGGGTTGCCCTACCTTTGAAGCTGTGTTGCTTCACACCTCTTCATATCAGACGACCATCCCGGGCCTACTTCCAGTCCTGAACGACTTGAGTTCTTTAGAAGATCGGCGGAGAAAGACGCTGAATTTCTAGTTCTACGATCAGACTGAGGATCTCGTTGATTGTCTCCCAGACATAGGTTAGGGATTTAACCACCAGGAATCGGCGAAGCTCCTAGGTGGCTGGTGCCTCCTGAACTACCCTCCCCGGTCCCTTTTCGGTATCTTCCGTCGAGGTCCACTTCTTCGTAGAAGAGATCAGCAGATATTTGTAGACATGGCCTAGAACCAGTCAGCTGCCTGAGACCTCTGGGAGAATTCTAGGCGTATCAGACGACAACATAAGCCTACGCCATAACGTCAATCACTCTCCGCATGTTGCAGTGACGTTGGGAACTCATGGCCGAATCACAGCATCAGGCAATCCCCAGCTCAGGTGGCGGAGTGTACCAGCTAACCATCCATGAATCTTGGCTCCACGGCTGCAGCTTGCCGCAATAGACCATTCGTTAGCCAGGGAAGATCCTTCCCAATCAAATCATGTTTGTGGCGTTTCAATTTGGTCTCTAGGTGACGGGTAGCTGCAGATTTGATGCATGGAAGGGTGAGGATCAGGAGAATGCTTCCGGTGAACCAGCCGGGCTGACGAGGGCCATTGTGTTCTGCCCATGAAGCAGACCTCGATGATACCCGAGTGAAAAGCCGAAAGAGCACGGAAGCAGTGCTCAATCTAAGACAGTCTGGAAAAAAGACAGACATCAGGTATTAATGAAGGAGCATCTTTCAAAGTACAGTAACAGAGCCTCTACAACCTACCTACGGCTATGTCTTGTCGTCGAGAGGTTGCACCGCCAGGCACGAAATCGGTGACAGAGAGTTGCTCGCGTTGAATAATGGCCATATGCGACGATATCACTAACAATGACCAGATGAAGGGTTAGCTCTTTCACCACCCGTAAGGGTTCGGGGAAGAAAGGGGAGGGGGGGTGTAGTCCTTCCTGAACCACCAGGATCTGGGCGGACAGCAAGCAGCCTTCCACCCCTTCTGACTACATAAACGGACCCTGTCGTCAACCTGGGAGATAGAGAGGAACGGGAAATTCATCTCCCCACATTTGGACGTCTCGGTTTTCTTGTCTCAGACTTTGCGCAACCACCCTTCTCATGCGCGCAGAGGCCTTGGGATCAGAGGACTGACCGACGTCCTCCGAGCTGACCTTTTCGCCCTCCAAGGAGGCCCTGAAGTATTTGGCTTTAACCTATGTGTGTTATCTAGCCACTTGTTGACATCCTGTGCCACCGGTTTCGAATGTTACGTATTTGAGCTTCTCAGCCCTCGACCATACCGTCTGTACGATCCAAGCCACATCTGGGTTGGTGGTATGTATATATCACCCTCGCATCCAGATCCTGCACTTCTCGTCCTCTTGAGAGAATATTCGGCGCCTATCTTCTCAAATATTCTACCTACAGATATTTGCGTATTATACTGAGAGCACGATATCTCTACTACTTCCGTCCCGAGATTCGACTTCACAAAACGCGGCGAATCTCTTCTCCCCGTCACAGAGACGCAGACGAGCCCTTCATCGACTTTTTCCCTGTTAAATACGGGGACGCCTATTCTTAATCTGTGAGCTTCTTCTTCTTCATCTGGCCCTTTTCAACATTGAACACCGTGGCATGGATCACCCGCCAGCTCTTCAGACTTGGATCTTGTCATCACTCACATTTGGGACGGAACTTTCTGAACTCCCATTTGCTCGCCCACACTCGAGTTATAAACCTCATGGAGGTCTATATGGGTAGACTGATTCCTATCAACAACTAGGAACTACGATCGACCAAGAAGCTGCTAGTCAGTGCTATACAGCTTCTTGAAACCCCAGATCCTCGGCAACCAGACGGTGTCCAGCATTGGAGCAAGCTTTTGCTTTCAACTAGTGCTACTGAAGGCAGGTTGCTATATTTGTTAATTCATCCTGCCATCTTCATTGAGTCTATCATTTGCTGAACTGGGGAGCATGCCGCTTTTTGGGAGGGTCACTCTCATGGTTTCAAACGGACTGACTGGGCAGCAAGTTTACAGTCTCGAAATCTACCTGTTTTCCAAGCAACCTATCACGTCGATAACAGATGACAGGGGCATTTTTGGAGGTCAGATCTAGCCCTGAGGCAGCTGACACTGCAAGCACTGACTGCTGTATAGATTGTCAAAGACGTTGGAAACGAGCATCACAGCACCGACTCAAACTTCTACTGCAGTGACATACGATTCGGTGTGCCAGTAAACGGCGGTATGAGCCATAAGGTAGGCCTGATTTCTTCTGATACTTAATTAGTCCCACGGCCGTCGGCTGTGCTGGATTGGGAGATCCTTCATGAAAGACGGGCCGAGGGCCAGGGCCTGAATGTCGCAGCCGCTTCACTCAAGATTGCCAAGTCGGCCGACCCAACAAAACACCAGCATTCAAAGATCCCGCTACAACGACATGAGCCATGGAGAACATGTGGAAAGAATCGGATTACACTGGCTAGTGCGGATTGAAAAAGGGTTGGTATCTTGTTGTGGGAGGTGAGTCGCTCAGCTTTTCTTCATCCTTCAAAGTCGCAATTCGCGATTGCGGAAGGCTTCGTGAAATTGTGGCAGAGATCCTGGCTTTCTTTCGCGACCCAGGGCAGACCTACTTTTGGGTGGTGGGCCAGACACCAGAGATGCAGCCTTCTGTGGTTCCAAAATGGCTTTGCTCAGACTGTCTCTTCTCCCCAATCATCTTCTTTGCCCAGAAACGGCACTGCAAGAAAGGGCAGCCTGCCCTTCAGAATGCACTCTCGTGTCTGTGCCTGGTATAACAGGTCTGCTCTCGGGCACTGGTTCCATGTACCAGTGGGGGACTGCGAGGTACTCAGTTGTACTCTTTCGCCCCGAGGACACAGTGCTCCGGCACTAATTTGTCAGGCCGCCAGCCTGCTTGAACAATGCCCTCACGCTCAGCCTTCCCACCGCCCTCTGACAGTGCTTCAAATTCTGGCTCGAGTCCATGATTGTACCGTCAGTAGGAGTCTCGCTAACAAACGGATCGTTGTGATTCACAGGTCACAGCCAGCTTGCAACGGGCTATAAGCGCACGACCCCTGCCGGGCTGACCCAGGTTCACAAGAGGCTGGACCATAGCTCCTTGCAGAATAATGCTTGCATGATCGCAATCTCCACGGATCTAGGTATCTGAATTGAGAAGGCTGACCTGTGTTGTTGCTATAGACGGACTATGAGCCATCTCCAGCTCCTCCTGGGCTGGAATATCTGGATATACAGCACCAAGGACATAGTATACCGTAAGTTCCGAACTCCTATTGGTTTTGTTCGATAACCAGCCTGGCCGGCGGTAAGAGAATGACGGGAGCCACTGGATTATTCCTTGCTGTCGGCTTAAAAGCCCACCATCTGCACGTCTGCTCCCTTTCTCACCCCCCCCGGACACAACTTCACTGGCATAAGCCCGGAACCCCAACAACATCCTGACATCTTCTTTTGCCCTACATCTCCATTGTCCCCTTGGTGTTCCCCGACGAGGCGGCGAACCTACAACCCCCGATCCTAGTCACGCAAGCGGCCGATATGCGAACTCATGGGTAGCTGCTTTGGCACCGGGTGTGCTACCTAGATTCTGGACACTGAGGTCTCTGTCATTCCGCGATGTGTGGGCTCCCAGCTTCCGACCCTGTATACCGTGTCCCTGTGCAACTCCAGTGCTGGCAGTAGGACGAGTCGGTTGCACCGACACTGTGTCTTGCATGGGGTCGCAGTACAACATTCACTGTCCCAACCCTTCAACCTTCCATGCCTGCAGCGAGGATCAAGCTGAGGGCAGCCCAGCTGACTGGTAATAGATACGACCACCATACCAATGCTGCTTCTCTGTCAATAGACGGCCCAACTCAACCGGCGCCTGGACTGATAAATCTTTTTCATCCGCCAGTCTTGAACACAACAACACCATACTCCCCAGACGGGGGCGCTTTCTACACGTCCGCCTCTAACATATACCATACCCTCGACGTCCGACCTCGCTTGGGATCGAAGTAGGTTTTGCTATGAGCAGCTTTGGTCACTTTGAACCACTGTCCTTGGCTCCAGCTTGTGCGATCAATGCTTGCTAACCGACACAAAGCATCGGCAATCCTCTCGGCTCGTCCCTTGGCCCTAGGACGACGGCATTGCCGCACCTTGGGACCCAGATCAGCACTCGAGACCAGTATTCGACAGCCACTCCGACCTTCAAGAGGCCGACTGAGCATTTGTCGAGATCTCCTTCCTTTACAGCCTCTGTAAACAGACGACACCCTCTGTCGCCGACACCTAGCCCCATCACCAATTTTACGAATGCCGTTAGAATGGATCAATACTCTTCGAAGACCCCGGCCAGCGTGCCACCTCTGAGTTCAATCACCACTTTGGGCAATCTCTCGTACGCCGATGCGTCGTCAGCGACGGGGACACTACCCGTCAAGATAGAGATTCAGGGCAACATCGACAAGGGCTTCTTCCAGTCTGATTGCGAATGGACGTGCTACAGGCGTAATTACTTCTCTTGTATCTGTTCTTACAGCCTGTCACCATACTATTCTTCCCAGTCTTTGCAATTTCAGCAACTCGGCTCCAAGCAGCCACTCAATGTCTTCGGATTTGCCATGTCGATTTCGGCGGTCGTTGCCGATAATGACAGCCACACCATCGAACTTGTTCAGCATACACCGAAAAGAGACAAGGGGCCTATTGCGAAGCCTGATAAGGTTCGTCTCCTGCCAAAACCGCTGCAGCCTGTTCACCATCCTCTCGGGCTGTACGCACATGATTCCGGCATGGGAGGACCATCAAGAATGGCGTATCCGGATGCTTTCAGCGGCGGCCATCATGCAGGCGATGCATACCAGAACGAGCACACCTTCGAGAGAATCCAGTTCAAGCAGGCCACGGCGAATAATGGGAAAAGACGAGCTGCGCAGCAGTACTACCACCTCGTCATTGAGCTCTGGGCAGACGTCGGCGCACAAGCAGCCGAGAAATTCGTCAGGGTTGCTTATCGGAAGTCAGCAAAGATGATCGTGCGGGGCCGGTCCCCCGGGCATTACCAAGGAGAAAGACGTGGAAGCACGAGCAGTGGACCGGGCGGTTCTGGTGGAAGCATGGGTGGGTTCAGTAGCGGAACGATGATTCCTCCCGAATTCCCTCCTTCCGGGCCGTCGATGGGCCCAGCATACGGTCATCACTTTGAACCGAGGGGAGGAATGAGCGGGTTTGGACCAGCACGCCATCACCATGAAATGGCGTACGAGCCCATGATCCCCCATGACGATATCAAGCCCCTCGACACAACGAAGGGATACCAGTATTACCCAGGACCGATGTATGAGGGGCCGCACGGCGACAAGGGTGGCATCGACGTGTTCCACCCACACCGGAATGGGCATGACGGCGCCCTGCCCCATATGGCAGCCAGCCTCGAGCCACCGCATGACAGATTCAAGAGGGATCCCGAGGCGGACCTCCTATCGGGTCGATTCATGCCTGGGCCGCTCGCAGTCAGCAACCGCTGTAACACGTACGAAGGCAAAAACACCTCCACAGGCTACTATCCTACGGCAGTGCCACCAAACAACATCAACATTGCCAACATCACTTAGTCTCCTGGTCGGTCGTCTCACGATACCGGATTTCGGTACAAGATAGCGGCATACGTCGATCAGCACAATCTTCAAGACGACTGAAGGGCCCGGATGCTGCACAAGAAGACAATGGGAATGGGTATGGCTGGCGTTTGGGCGTCACTTGTGGCTTCGAATCACGGTGGAAGAAAAAGGAAGGAGAGACCTGTCACAACACTGGCTGGGATGACACCAAGACAGGCAAGAACTTCTCTTAATCTCGAGACACGGTGGGCTGGCAGGAACGGCTTCGGAGGAAATTTGGACGCGAAAACTGAAACGAAGTAACGGGACAACGAGCGAAGAATATCAAGAGAGTGAATACCCGGGGTGCGCTGGTTTTATATTTCTTTATCCGTCACTCGCTCTTCCGGAAGTAGAGTCACTCTATGTCGCCATCTCTTCTAGCGTTTCTGGTTTCTTCCTCTCATTCTCGATAGTTGAATATGGACAGACAGTCGGTATGAACAAGGAATTGGTGCACTGGGAGAGGACGGGGATGTACGAGGGATGGTGACAAGTGGGTGGGCCACGAGCACGAACAAGATGGGTCGGCGGACAACGGATAGGAGCCACGCACCGAGGCGCATTAGCAGGGCAATGCCGGTGTATGGTATGTTTCGATCTCGGGCCAGGAACGAACGTTTTGCTCTTCTCCTAACAACGAACCACTGACTTTGCCATTTTCTGTTGCATCGGCTCACATACATGGGAAATTTCGATCACGATGTCGTTGCGGCAAGTGTCCCATGCTGTGCGGCGTAGCCAGTCTAAACGACTCGCGTCGGGCACGACAGGCAAGCTTTCGGGCCCGAAGACGCTAGATGGGAAGCGGAGGGCCTTCCTCCTCCATCGAGAGGGGGGGACGGTATGTGCAGGCGGCACCGGATGCGATTTGCCCTCGCAGCTCAAACGAAGGGCTTCACCTCTCTTTCCTCCGGCGAAACGATTCAGTGAGACATTTCCCTGGTTGCTCGAAAGCGATGGCAGAAGTCAGCCGTGACGCCCCCCGAACTGGAAGTCGGGCTCTTAGCCGGCCACGTCAATACGCCTGTGGCCACTGTGCCCCTCCAGCCTGGGTTTGAGAGAGTGACAGTTCCCTGGGCGATGGCCTAGAGTCGTTGGCTCGCTTGCTTCTCGCTGCGAGACCCGGTAGCTGTCCCGAGGGCTTGCAACTACAGGTCGCATACATCCGTGACAGGGGGTGAGGCATCGCAGCGAGCACCTATTCGGTCAGACAACGACCCTGGGCGATTGTGCCCGGTGATCTCTGAGTCGAATCAAGCCGCAATACGTTGCGGGAGAAGCCATAACACGCAGAAGACATTGCTCACGCATACTCACAACTCATCAGATGACTTTGGAAGGCCGCAAAGGAGAAATACGGGCGGGACTGCAGGATGTTCAATTAAGGTTTTCGCACTTGTCAAAATCCGGGCGCGGCTCCGGATTGACTCGGAGCATTTTGACTCAGAGCTCTCACCTCACTCGATGATCGATGATCGATGACTGCCTGAGCGGATGATCATATGTGGAGGAAGAGGAAGGGGAAAGGGGAGGGTCCACTTGAGGGAAGGAGCATCATCCTCGGGAGGGGAGGAGGCAAGAGTTGGGCAAGAACGAGGTATCGTGTAGCAGGCGACAGGAAGAAGGCACAGCAAGTGAACAGAACAAAGGCGAGCGAGACGGGAAAGAGGGACAGCACTGTGGCCTGTGACTGCCCTGTCAGCTGTCTTGGTCAATGCCTCTAAAGAGCGGACACGCTTGCCTAGAAAACTCGATGGCGTGGTGGCTAGGCCTTGGAAGCCAGGTGCAAGAGCGCTATTTTGCGCCTTCTCTGGCTGCCCGTGAGGTGGTCGCGCCCGTCCCTTACTTCCCGTCGCCGCAGGCCCAGCGTGACCAGGCCTTCCTGACCAAGTGGCAGTCTACCCCCACTCACAGCCGTTCTCTTGCACCTACCTACCTTACCTGACCAGGTACCTGCCTCAGCTAGGTCCAAGCCGCGAGATGCATTGCCCAGCCTTCCCACACACAAGCCGGGTGCACAATACTCACACGCACCAGGGGAGCACCTGATGTTAGGCGTGAGACCATCTCCTCAAATGAACTCTGGCCCATCGCGGTCCCTCGCATGCCGAAATCATCACTAATAGGGGAAGCAGGCGAATCCCAATGTAGGGCCAGACCGAAGCCCAACAGATAGATGAGAGGCGTGCGTCAACCCTCCCAAGTCGTCCCGAATGGAAGAGGCTCGTGCTGACGGTCCAGCCCGACTCTCCCGCTGTCAGGAACCTCAGAAGAACCACCAAGTACCTTTCCGTACCTCCATACCCTCGTCTCTGGCCTCGCCTCAGGCAAAAGACGTGCCACGGCCCCCAACGATTTCGTCTCGTTCGCAGCGCATGTAACCCCTGTCGCCCTAAAGTCCAGCTCCATCGTCCCTGGACCACCGGTCACGCGTCGGAATCTACGACGACAGACACGGCGCACTACTTGAGGGTTTCTCCGCCGAGCTGCTCGGAAGTCACCACAGCATCGTGAGTGTCGTGGCCTGCATCAACACCACCGAGTCTCGTCAGCCAGCGCCTCTGTAACCTTTGTCGGGCGAAACAGCTCGGTCGACTTGCTTTTCCTTCTTTTCAAACACGGACATCCTGCACACGGACCCACTCAACGTCGAGTGCTGTATTCGTCAGTGACCCCAGTAGACTGCGTCAGTGGCACGCCTGACAGAAACATCGTTCCGCACGCGACAATCCTCGGGCGTCCGTTTCACGAACCGTCATTGCTCAGCCTTACACATTTACGTCTTCTCCAATCCTGCTGTCTCAGCCAGATGGCCAGCCCATTAGCCATCCCCCATCTCTCGGTATGTCTCACCGCATGCCGACCAACCAACCTTTGGCACCTTATGATGCAAGTGTGCCTGCTGCCATCGCGCGTGAGAAAGTGCGGAACGCAGACGTGGACCGTTATTCGCCTTCAACCCAACAGATCCATTGTCCACATGGGTAACCAACACTGGCACTCTCGTCCATGCCGACCGCCCGGGACATCGTCGCTCACGGCCTGCATCTCCTCTTGCCTCTGAGGCCCAATCGGAAGAATCCTGTGGCGACAAGCTAGCCAGACGCCCCCTAGAGCCCACTCCGTCGACGGCGGTGTGGAGGGCTGCTCATCCACCTGGACCGTGCAAAAGCTGACTGGTTGGCCGTCCTCACCTTCACAGGCACAGTCGGAACAAGGTGAATACGCCTCATCGACTCGCCATGGCCAGCCGTGCTTCCGATAACCGTCACAACCATGGCGTTGTGGCTTGTCCGATCGGGAGCCGCTACGCATTGGGATTGGCTCCATGATCCCAGCATGTGCAGCACCGTGCTAGACAGCACCACGCAGCAGAAACAATGCAGGCCGGGGAAAGGCATCGCCCTCACCAGGACAACACGAGCACATGCGTTTGATTTGGGACTGGGCCCGAGACCACGCACATCAACGCCTCGCGGCTCCTCCCACCCATGCCACTGACGAAGGCCTTGGCAACGTCAAAGGCTCACCTGGACCTGACGCCAGTGTTTCGAGCCGGGCAACAAGACCTTTGACCTACACCGGTCTGGCGTTGCCGCGGGGTCCCCGACCCCTGACTGGGAGTCCTTTTTTTGCTTGTCGAAACCGGTGTCGCGAGCGTGTGGACGTGGAGACACGCTGCTACTGCGATGGCCCTCCCACACCTCCATGTCCCAGAGCTCATGCAAGCGTTGTGTGCATCGATAGCCGGGGTAGGCAAAGTGCAACGGCTGCCGGGCGCCATACCAAGACTCCTCTACGTTCACCGGTCCCAGCTGCTCGAGACTTTGCTAAGCCTTTTACCATGGGCCCTATCCCAGTGTCAGGCCAACAGAGCCAGCCAGGGCGCCTTGGTGCCATGATGACTGAGCGTTGTGGGTGACCAGAAGAGGTTGTCAGCGAGCCTGCTGGTGTAACCATCCAACATCCGGTCGGTCTGGGCGATCTGCCTTGCAGGAGCTGATCAGCGAAGCCAAGTCGGGTGCTGACTTGCTCCTCTCCCGTCGGCTGCCTGCCGTGCTGAAGGCGGGTGAAAGATACCCAGTGTTCTACTCCTTACCCGCCTCATTTCCAGAGCCTTGGATGATGACGGGGCCAGTGGCTCACTTACTCACGCAGAGCAATGTAACCCACGAAGGCCCACTTGTTGTGCTTCGCCATGACCATGTGGGATCCTTGGGGGACGACCCAAGGTGCATCTGGACTGGAGCAACCATAAGGGCCACTTGGCAACCTGCTCGCACATGTTTTGTCGAATTCTACTGAAGGCGTAATCAAACTGGATGATTTGCATATCTCGTACCTCGCCATCTTTCAGCTTCAAAATCAGTAGGGCATGACCGAATGATCAAAAGGCCCAACCTGACAGACATGCTCAGCCTTTAGCAGGTCGAGACCTATGATGCGACAGCCCAAGACCGGGTTCCTACCGGAATGTGCTTCGGCACCTAGGTGGCCTGTCGTACAGGAAGCGCCGCGCCCGTCCACGAGAATGACTCTGCCAATGATGGAAGCCGGCGAAAGGAGGGCCGTTCGAGGGGCAGCACTAGCAACACGGTAGTGCGGCAGCACAGCATGTGGCCTTGACGGGTTGGAGCAGTGTACAGTCCGGCAGGCAAGGATCTTGCGGTTTTGGGGATGAAGTCGCACGGGGGAAAGCCACCAAGATCTTGCTGGGACGCCGTCGCACGAGTGGTTTTCTTTTGACCGTTTCCGTTTTTGTTCTTGGAACTTCAAACCAGCTGCAGGCATCGCTGTGTAATCCTTACCTTCGAGCGAGGGCGGCTGCGACCATCTGACATTCGTCGGATTCCAGCGACGGCAGGCGGAGCATGCTCGACCCGAGAACGTCGAGATGGACCTGAGTCGGAATTCTTTGAGGCATTCGAGAGTTCGCAGTCCTCGGATGCGGTCTGAGATGCATAGTGTAGGATTGCAAAAGATTTATTGCCGACAGTACCGGCTAGTGGCCTGTACTGTGATAAGTCAAAACTGAGTGTGACCTGGCTTCGGACCTGAACTATACTCGAGGCGCTCCTTCGACAGACACGGGGGGCTTGCCCTGACGGCGTTGCGAAGTCGTTCGCCTTGACACGGTTAAAATGTGGTAATTGACTGAACTTTTGCCACCAGGTATAGTAGTCTCTCTATGATACATGTAACGGCCGCACTCTCTCTATGTTAAGATGCGACCTCATCTCCTTCGAAAGATGGCATCCGACATTCTGACGACCTGGCACATCTCGACAGCGTCATGAACCCGCACGACGTCGGCGCCGCCAGAGACGGCCGCGGCGACGGTGGCGGCGGTGCCCCAGATGCGCTCTTCGGCCTTGGGGACGCCAGTGACGCGGCCGATGAAGCTCTTGCGGCTAGAGCCGACGAGCCAGGGAAAGCCCTCGAGGCCGGGCCAGGCCCGCAGCTCGGGCAGTCGGCTCAGGAGCTCGAGGTTCTGCTCGCCCACCTTGGCGAAGCCGAGGCCGGGGTCGAGCACAATGCGCCAGCGGCGGATACCGGCAGCCTCGGCCTCGGCGACGCGCTCAAGGAGCTCGCGGGCGACGGTGGGGATGAGGCCGTCGGGGTAGTCGTTCAGAGAAGACATGGTCTGTGGGGTGCCGCGCATGTGCATGAGGCAGACGGTGGCGCCGGCGCGGGCGACGAGGGGCAGCATGTCGCGGTCTAGCTGGCCGGCGGATATGTCGTTGACAAAGTCGGCGCCTGCAGCGAGGGCAGCCTCGGCGACGGGGGCGCGGTACGTATCGATGCTGATGGGGAGGTGGGCGAGCTCAGGGATGGAGCGGACGAGACGGATGGCCGGAACGACGCGCGCGATCTCCTCCTCGGCCGACACGTCGGGGCGACCCGGGGCTGAGGACTGGCCGCCAATGTCGATCATGGTGGCACCGGCGGCGTGAGCGGCAAGGAGAGTGTCCGGCAGGGATATCGAGGTGTGAACGCCGCCATCTGAGAAAGAGTCGGGGGTGATGTTGACGATGGCCATGACATGTGTTTTGCGGGTCGGCGTGAGGGCCGTGATGAAGGGCGCCGGCGCCGGCGCGAGGGGCGTCAGGGGGGAAAGAGGCGGATGAGAGGGGGTGAGCTCATTGAGGTAGTCCTGGGTGAGCTTCCAGGGGTTTGAGGCGTAGAGAGGTTTGGCGGGGATGAGTCTAGATCATTGTCAGCCGCCGGTGTGTCTCTCTCCAGGCGTGCTTGAGAATGATGCATTCTTGGGGGCAACGAGAGGGTTCAGGACATACTCGGCAAGTGGTCGCAGCACAAACTCCCTTTCGGGAATGCCGACGTGAGGGACGGTGAGACGGTCATGACTGATCGTCTCATCACCGTACAGAAGAATGTCGAGGTCGATGTTCCGGGGCCCCTTGTCGATGAACTTTTGTCGACCCAGCGTCCTCTCAATATCCTGCAGTACGTCCAGCAGGGCGAGGGGCTCCAACTTTGTCTCGACCTGTTCATAGAGTTGAGCAAACAGAGAATGATTTTTCACACGGGGGGCCAGCTCTCCCAACAGCAGGCAGACGAACCTCACATGCTCCATTGACGAATCTATCTTGCTCTAGGACGTACATGGGCTCCGTCTCCCACAGGCTGCTGGTCCTCGTCACGCGGACGCCGCGGTCATCCATCTCACGACAGGCCTTCTCGATCCAGCCGACCCGGTCGCCGAGGTTGCTGCCGAGGGCAATGTAGGCCGTGACGGTCTTGGGCTCAGCGGGGCCGGCGGAGGTGCGACGGCCGCAGCCGCAGCCGGCGACGGGTCTGCCGTCGTCCTCCATGACGGAGCTGCTCGTCTTGATGTGCTTGGTCCTGCCGGGCTCAGGCGCCGCCGACGTGTCCGCGGTGGGGCCGAACGCGGCCGTGGTGGTAGTCGTCGTGTTTTTGGCTACTGGCCAGGCGTGCTTGGTGAAGTGGTGTCGACGGGGAGCGTTACGGCAGACGGCAATGGACACCTGGTGAGGGCAGCGGACATGGCGGAGCGCGGCTGACTGGGAGCAGCCCCTATGCAGAGTGGAGGCAAAAGAGGTGAGTGATTTCATGGTCGACTCCCCTCACTTCTTGGGATGGACCTCGACCTGCCTCTCAGCGCTTGATTTTTTTTTTCAGCGGGCGCAATTCGCTTGAGAATCTGCGATGTCTGGAGGGGATTGGATAATCGAATTGGGACATGTTGCATTGATTGTTAACCGTGATAGTCAGCAATACGAGCTCGTGCATCTTAGTCATCTTTGGGTTGCCGTGTGCGGTTGCGGTGCCGGTGCCAGGTGTCAAACACCGGGTGCCAGTCGTCAAATGCCAGGTGCCAGGCACACTGGGCCTTTGCCTTTCCCTGGTCGGTCCTTGGGACGGGAGGAAAAGAAGCTTGATTTGAGAAGATGCAACATGGGCACTGCATTCTCGCCATGTTCCTCGAAAGAAGGTTTATCATGTCTCGTTTGCGTTTCCCCGCGCCGTTCGATCCTTGCGACCCCCCCTCCAGATCTCGAGACCTCCAAACTCCAAGCCTCCAGAACCAGGCCACGCGCACATTCGTCCCTCGGCAACTTTCCCCAGATCTCAACCGGGTTCACGCCATGCTGTTTGCGGCATAGCCCCAGAGATCACAGGTGAGCCTCGGCTCGGCTGAGGTCCAACTGTGGGGGAATGCAGCAGGACAGAGCAGCGACCGCGGCCGTCATTCGACACGAGTGCCGCGCCCGCCGTCCTGGTGACGCCCTTTAAACAGAAACCATCCTCCGAGATCCTTCCTCGTCTTTCTTTCCCGCCAACAACCACCTCTCTTTCCATTTTTCAACCCTCCTCCCGCATTCTTCTCAGCGATCCTCTCTGTCTTCATTGCACACAGAGCCATCTTTGTTATTTGATCCTCCAGATACCCATCACCCATCTCTCGCCCCCCTCCCCCACCTCCAAAAATCAGACACAATGGCGTCTCCTCGTAAGTGCCACACCCACTGTCACATGCGCGAGTTTGGCAGGATGGGCCAGAAACCCTTCGCCTCCCACCCTCTTGCGATGGAGAGCAACAAGACACAAAGTCGAGCAAGAAGAACAGCGCGCTGACACGAGTTTCGTCCCCAACAGAGAAGATCCGCACCCCCATCACCGATCTTTTCAAGATCAACCACCCCATCCTGCTCGCCGGCATGAACGTCGCCGCTGGCCCCAAGCTGGCTGCCGCCGTCACCAACGCCGGCGGCATGGGCGTCATTGGTGGTGTCGGCTACACCCCCGAGATGCTCAAGGACCAGATCGCCGAGCTCAAGGAGCACCTGACGGACAAGAACGCTCCCTTCGGCGTCGACCTGCTGCTGCCCCAGGTTGGTGGCAGCGCGCGCAAGACCAAGTAAGCAATGCTCCCTCGCCGCTGACGCTTGGCACTGGCACGTGCCGGGCGCTCTCTCTCTCTCTCTCTCTTTCTTGCCCCCCCCTCTCCACACCCCAGGCCATGGCGCAACCCCGCTGACCTCGCCCTTTCTCTCCAGCTACGACTACACCAAGGGCAAGCTCGACGGCCTCGTTGACATCATCATCGAGTCTGGCGCCAAGCTCTTCGTCTCTGCCGTTGGTGTGCCCCCCAAGCACGTCGTCGACAGGCTCCACGCCGCCGGCATTGTCTACATGAACATGATCGGCCACCCCAAGCACGTCAAGAAGTGCCTGGAGCTCGGCGTCGACATCATCTGCGCCCAGGGTGGCGAGGGTGGCGGCCACACCGGTGACGTCCCCACGACCGTCCTCATCCCCGCCGTTGTCGACCTCGTCAAGGGCCACAAGTCCCCCGTCACCGGCGGCCCCGTCCAGGTCGTCGCCGCCGGCGGCATCTACAACGGCCAGACCCTCGCCGCCGCCCTCATGCTCGGCGCCAGCGGCGTCTGGGTCGGCACCCGCTTCATCCTCACCGACGAGGCCGGTGCCCCCAAGGCCCACAAGGAGGCCGTCCAGACGGCTGGCCACGACGACAATGTCAGGACCATCATCTTCACCGGCCGCCCCATGCGCGTCCGCAACAACCCCTACATCAACAACTGGGAGACGGAGCGCCAGCAGGAGATGCGCGACCTCGCCGCCAAGGGCACCATCCCCTACGAGGCTGACCTCGAGAAGATCATGAACGGCGAGCCCGTCAAGGGCGCCGCCATCCAGACCGCCGCCAACACGGAGGAGGACGATGACGAGGACCCTCTCGACCAGTACCGCCCCTTCCTCATGGGCAAGGCCGCCGCCGTCGTCAACAAGCAGCTTCCCGCCAAGGCTGTCGTCGACGAGCTCGTCAACGACGGTGTTGCGTGGATAAACAAGGGCCAGCAGATGGTCGTCGCGAAGCTGTAAGTTGCCGAGGGGGAAAGATAAAGGGTGTCGCTCGAATGAACCGCAGGAAAGCAAGAGAGAGAGAGAGAGAGAGAGATCTAGACGAAGCCCGTGTGGTATGATATGACTTGCATAGTAAAGACTTGTACACTCGAATGAATCACAAACAAATTATGAAAATCATCGTCATCCTCCTTTTGCTGTTCCGCTTGTCGTCTTCTCCGTGAGCGTGTGGAGAAGCGAACATTTGGCAATAAGGAGCATTCTTCCCGTTTTCATGACCCGTGCTGGCCTCGTTTTTCTGTTTGTGCCTCCTCTCCTCTCCGCCTAACGCACCACCATATGACCACTGCTGCCGTAGTCCGTTTCTTAAGCTTCTGTCTCTCAGCGCAGCCCGTACGCAGCCCACCAGAAAAGCCAGCCTGGGACAAGTAAACACGTCTCTCATTAAAGGAACTATGCTGCCGCGCCTCCCGCCTTCACATGCCCCCCTTTTCATCTCTCCCTCTCTCTGCATCCCAGCATCCGTACGTTGACCCATCTCCTCCCCCCTCTACCGCACAAGACGCGCGGTGCAAACACCGCTCAGCTGCCGAGGTACGCGCGAATGGCGCCCTGCAGCCGTCCGCCGACCTCGCCGGCCATGTTGCTGAGGTTCTCGAGGTCGTCGCCGGCCGTGATGCCAAACTTGCGGACAAAGTCCTTGGCCGCCGACTCGAGGTCGCCGTACTCCTCGGCGGGCTCGTCCTCGGGGCGGCCAAAGTAGGCGTTGGACGAGATGGCCGACGCGCCCTCGAAGCCCTGCAGGCGCGTCTTGGCCTCGGCCTGCTGGTTCGGGTCGAAGGAGCCCTTGCCGAAGAACTCGTCCGAGGAGATGCCCTTTTGGCCGCCAAACTTGCTGCGCGCGTACGTCTCGTCTTGATCTGGTGGGAACGGGTTAACATGCAACGAAAGACAGCGGGACGGCAAGACGTGTGACGGGAACCGAGGCGCAGAGAGAACGGAGACTCACCTTCTGCAGCAGCCTTGATGGGGCCCACAGAGCCAAAGCCCGTGGCCGCCTTCTTGGCGGGCGCCGCCTTGTTGCCGCCGCCGACCTGGCCGAAGCCGAGCCTCTGCATGCCCATGCCGAGGCGCTCCGTCTCGGACTTTTGCCGGGTGTGGCTCGAGGAGCCGTAGTCGCCCTTGGGCACGGCGGGCGAGGCGAGGCTGGGCTCGGGCTTGATGACCTTGGCCTTCTCAGCCTCCTCCTCGGCCTCGGGATCGTAGCCCAGCTTCTCGATACGTTCGGCCTCCTCCTTGGCCTTCTTCTCAGCTTCGTCAAAGTCGATGAGGTCGGCCGTCACCTTCTTAGCGCCAAGCTTGGGCACCTTCTTCGCGCCGAGGACGCTGGCCTTGCGGGGGCCGCTGGTCGTCGTCGTCGTCTTGCGCAGGGCCGCCGAGGAGGTGATGCGGCTGGCGGCCGGCTTGGCGGCAGCGGCGCTGCCGTCGGGCTTGGCGAGGGGCGAGGCGGAGCGCGAGATGTCCTTGGGCGCGGAGAGGCCGCCGGCCGACAGCGGAGACGAGGTGCGGCCGATGACGGGCGGCGTGCTCGTGCGCGAGATGGGCGGCGTCGGCTTCTTGATGGCGGGCTTGTCCCAGGAGGAGAAGAAGTCGTCTTCATCGGCACCCGAGGGCGTGGCGCTGCCGTTCTCCTCGACGGCGTCGGTGATGACCACCTCGTGGGGGTATCTGGAGAGAAAAAGCACGTGTCAGCATGACCCCCTCCCAAAAAAAAAAAGGGGGAGTATCCCTGGAGAAGAGGGATGGTTCTGGGTGTCGCGTACTCCTTAGCATCCCTTGCCGCTCGCCTCTTGAGCTCCTCTTTGTACTTGACAGCGGCGCTCGACTGGTACTTGGTCTTGGAGTCTTTGCTGTTGAGTGCTGCGGTGCCGCCGTTCTGCTGGAAGAACTTGGTCGCAGACTCGTTGCCGCCGACCTTCATCATGCGCAGCTGCTCCCATTGCCACTCTAGAGGCGCGTTAGTCTAGGTTTCTCCTCGAAGAGCGAGTGTGGTATTGGACGCGAGACGTACGGTCGAGGTTGGTCGAGCGGACAAAGGAAATGTGCACACCGAGGTTGCGGTGATTCGAGGAGCAGTCGAGGCAGAGGTAGATGCCGAAGGGGACAGAGGTCCAGGTAGGGTGCTTGGAGCCACAGTCGAAGCAGACCTATGTGAGGAAGCGTGTCAGTCAGACTGGTACCCACGCGACAAGTAGCATGCTGTGTGAGGCCTTACCTTGTTGGCCTGCTTCGTCTTCAATTTCTCGAAGATCTTCTGCGACTCCTGCTTCGAAGCCAGGGCACTCATGATGGCGGTGAGGCTTTGGCCAGTATCAGATCGAGTTTGTCGGTGGTTCGAGGTTTTTCCTGGGTCGCCGACAGCCGAACTATTCTGCTGTCACTCGTGCGTCGCGGAGAGATCAAGAGATGATATCGTGATCGCGTTCGTGTCCCAAGTTCAGGAGTTGCTCCTGTCCTGACGGCAAGGGGTGGGGGGGGCAACTGAATGTCGAGAAGTGGCATGTAGGGGCCGCACTAACCGCATGCGACACTAGCGCCTTCTGCCTCTCCACATGGCGGGTTCTGCCAAAGGCGGTCACGACCTTTCCGTTCTCTGCCCGTGGAGCTTGTCGCAGCTCGTGAATCCGACGTCCATGTAGCTTCGCACCTCGAAGCTCAAACGCCTATTTATCAGTCTCGGTGCCGTTGAACAATGGCCGCCGCCCTCTCGCCAGGATGAAGATTCCCACCAGCGCGCTCGCGACCCGCACGCCGACCACCATCAGCCACGCCCCCCAATTGCGATCATTCCTCATCCAACGATACTATGCGACGCAGACCGGCCTCGGCACCACCCCGCAGGAACCCAAGAGGAGACGAGTGACACCCTTCAACGACGACGGACATGTGCCGTGGTCGAAGCTCTCTGCTGCCGAGAAGGCGGGCAGGGCCACGCAGCAGAGCTTCAACTTTGGCATGATCATCGCGGGTCTAGTCTTGACGGTTCGTCTTTCTGTGCCCATCGATGGCCCTGAGCCTGCTGGGCCTTCCCTTGTCGCTTGGTTGGGCACGAGAACTGACACGGCGCCAGGGTGGTGTAGGCTATGTGCTATACACCGACGTCTTTTCTCCCAACAGCAAGACAGTCTACTTTAACCTCGCGACTGACAGGATCAAGAAGGATCCGAGGTGCCTCGAGCTTCTCGGCGATGCGAAGAAGATCATGGCGCACGGAGAAGAAACCATGAACAAGTGGCGGCGCTCGCGTCCTCTGGCGTATGTTGATTTGGTGCACCACTGTGGTCGACCCCCAAACTGATTGTTTCCAGGTCGTCAGAGCACAAGGATGCCAAGGGCAACGATCACTTCCAAATGAAGTTCTACGTACGTTGGGTCTGTTCTCGTATGGCTTCCGAAAATCAAACTAACAGTGTCCAGGTCGAAGGGCCCCTGAACACCGGCCATGTGCATATCCACATGATCAGGCCAGCAGGTCAGAGCTCCTATGACTACAAGTATCTCTATCTAGATGTTCGCGGTCACCAGAGAATCTACCTGGAGAACGCCGATACCGATCCCAATAACCCCAACAAGTCAAAGGTCAAGTTTTTGGGCATCAACTGGGGCTGATTGTGCGAACGAGACCTGCATCTCGAGGTATTGAAGTCGTGTGACATGGACCACGTACGTAGGATGAGGACTTATGTAGGATGAGGGTGTATCAATATCAACACGATTGAGAATCAGAGACTGGGTTGGCACGAGTGTCTTGCCGGGCTCAGGAGTCAGTTCATGACGCCCACTCATTCCAGTTTCTTTTCTCCTACAGTAACACCCAAAAGGTCGCAGTTCAGAAGAGAGACACGTCTTTGGAAGCCAACTTCTTGCCTCCAAAACTTGGCTCAAGCTCTTGCGGCTGAGCATGTGCAGGATGTACTAGATGATTTGAACAGGAGACGTGTTACACACCCGCAGCTACCACAGCTAAGTTTGAACAATCGTGGGCCAAGCGCGTGAACGTGGGGACACAGCCGGCTTGCTCCCACCATGATGCGATTTGCCCATGGGCTTTCACACCAATGATCGGTTTCGCCCATCTTGATTCACGAACAATCGCTCGACTTAACGAGAATAGTCCTCTCTGCGGTCAGATTCGTCAGCTGATACTACACCACAGTTTGTCTCCCAACAATCAACAATTAAGCAGACCCGTTGCTGAAGTGGTCAGACACTTACTGTCGGGGTTCCCAGAGCTACTGGACGCTTTCTTTTTTTCCTAGGCCAGTACGCATGTCATACAGCATGCGGCCATCAAGGTCATGTTCTGCCGTATTTTTTCAAGGCAAGAAAAAAAAAAGACAATTCACAAGGTCACACAGAGCCGAAGCGATTATGGCCAGGGATACAGCCTCCAGCTATGTTTCTTGCCGTGCTGTCCGATGATCTTCACCATCTCCTTGCTCCAACCCTTCACCTCCGGGCTAGAACTGAGCCATGCGGCTCTGGCAATGGCCATAGGCAGCAACTCTGCTTCTCTGTCGGCCTGAAAGAATATTGAGCTTTGAGTTGATCTACGGCGTTTTCGGATACGGAACCTGTATTGCGTTGGCCTAATACCGTGAACCTTCCCTGAAACCTGTTGCGTGATGATTTTACGTGACAGGGTTGATTTTGCAGCTGACATGCAAATTTCAATCAACTTATTTCATCTCACAGCACATAAGTACACATACAAGCATCGTTTGCGGCCTCCCGGCAAGCCATGATATTTTGCCTTTGAGATTGCTGCCGTGATCTCTGACAAATCCCCACGAACATCCCGCGCAACCCCTCATCTGATGTTTCTCCTGACACCCCCCTTCAAAGGTGGGTAGCGCCCGCCGCGATCCGAACCGCGTGAGGGGTTCGCAGACGTCTCGAAGAGCCCAGGTTGCCAGGTGAAGCACGGTGGCTTGCCTTTGGTGGCGATGCCTGTCAAAGAGCGGGGAGCCAAGCACCGCGAACGAGCTAGACGAGGTCAATGAAGATTGGAGGCGGCCCCTAGGGGCGTGAGAGACGCCTCTTCACCCCCAACTCTTGCACGATGTATCTTGCCAGGCTGGTACATTCAATTCGAAAAGCCACACAGGGGGCTCGGTGACCAGAGGTGCAGGACCGCCGGTGAAGGAGATGGCAGCGCAGGCGCGGGATGTCGGGCTAGGAATACGTGCTTGTCGCGGGCCGATTTCCCTGCAAGATTTGCCACCGCCGGGGCGAAACCTGGGGGTGCGCAAACCGGCGGACAAGGGGCCCGGGAAGGGGAGGGGGGAAGCTTGCTGCTCGGCTACCTGGCGAAGGGGACTGAAAGCGAGCCAGTGGCCGAATCCTGGGGATTTTTCTCCCCCAATCCAGATGACATGGATTGCGTGACCGCCTCGGTGACGCCCCCTGGCGCTTCTCGCCAACTGCCCGGCGAAGGTGTCAATCGTGCGACGTGGGGTGGCCAATAGAGGCCGCACGCCGACGCGTGGCGACGAGGGCTGGTTGATGATGGCGGTTGACCGAGATGCTGCAACATCGTGGAGTTTCCCCCGCTCTCCCCGTTCCCAGATGCGACGGTGGTATTGCGGGGAAGGCGGCCGGCTGCACAAGATGGTGTCGAGGCGCGGGCGAGACGAGACGGGGCATGCAGCCAGATACGCCTCGTGGAGGTTTACCTTCCTGTTGGGGGGGGGGGAGGGCACAGGCAGAGAGGATAAGGGCAGGTCTTCTGCCAGGGCAAGGCTTCTGCCAGGGCCTGGCCGGCTGGGTTCAAGACGAACCTTTCGCGGCTCACATCCGTACACCGAGTTGCAGGCGCCTCGCATCGTGGCCTTCGGCGGCTTGACGGCCGGCCATTCTTTTTGTGCGGGGTGGGACAAGGGGCGCGGCCGCATCGCAGGCGGAATACCCCATCGTGATGCCCAGTTCACGGGCCTGTCAGAGCCAGGGGGCCTGCCTCAATGCAGGTCCAAGGCTTTGAGGCAAGGCCCAAGGCCGCCTTCCAGGTTCTCCCGGTGAAGGCTTTACCAACACG